TGCACATCATTTATAGTTTCTCGTAGTTTTTAACACATGGCAAATGCTTTGGCACCTTTTGCAACTTTGTCTGAATTGATGAGTTGCTCTCAGGGAAATCTTGACTTCCACGAATGAATGGGAATGTGTGAAGCCTTAGATAAACCAATGATCAACTAGTTCTCTACTGTAAAATAGCTCAGAACCTTCAACTGGCAAGTATATATAGACAGCACAACAGCATGTTACAATTTCTGACAATGGAAGAACAAGGAAATGAACAGCAATAACTGCTGGATAGAAGAAGAAGAGTAAGGCTGTATGGTGGAAGGGTAGGGAGGCAAAACAGAGGAAGGGGTCGACCACATTGTCATTCATGGCCTTACACAAGCCGAGGCTGGTTGAAGGCAGCCAAATGTTGGGAGAACTGCTCCGTCTAGGGTGCTTTTGTTCTGTTTACATTTCTAATGTATTTTAAACAGTAAAAGTGTAAATGTGAATACTGTCTAATCTTTGGAAGTCAGTCGCCTACGTATACTCACCAGCCATTTTATTAGGTACAGCTGTACAACTGCAATTCAGTGCAACACTTCCACCTTAACATCTCTGTGTATGAAGCTCAGAATGTTTCACTTTTTTGGGGAAATTGTCATAAATGTATAAATTCAATTACCTGTTTATTATTGAGGCCATACTTAAAGGTGCTGTTGTAGTCGACTACATTATATTCAGAGGTGTCTATATTTTTGTCCTCTCCAGCTACTTACATGAGCGGGTCAGAATATTAGGAACACCTTGAATTACATACAATTGTACAGTAGTATCTAATAAAGTGGCGGGTGAGTGTACAGCAATGTGAAACTTTGTACTGTTGAAACTGATGCATGCCATACAGAAAATGTGCAGCCTTCTGTATTTTCAATTATTGTCATCAAAACCTGAGCCAGTTTTCATATAAGAAAACTTACATCACAAATATATAAATTTTACATTACAATGTTATATCAACAACACGACAAAACATTCTGACTGCCATGTTAAATGATGACACAAGAACTTGTCATTCTGATGCAGTGACATGTTCACTGACATAAATATTTACTTTTGTGAGATAAATTAAGGATTTTGAGCAAGTGATGTGCTTTTGCAGATAATCCATTGTGTGGTGCTGTTTGTACAAATTGTTTCAAGAAATGCTCGTTTTGCAAATATCAAGGATGTTTAGAGAAACGTACGAAAAAGATTGAAAAAAACTGTAACAGAGCACTTTAATCAGGGCAAAACTTTTTGAATTGACATCCGCTAACTGCACAATAACTCACTCAACCAGGCTGCTGTCATTTCACCCTTTCTGCCATTTCACAATCAGCTACTCTCCAATTAGAAATCAACATTCACCTCTGGGATTTCTGTGGATCTTCAGCCAGAGCAATGTTTCACTGAGGTTTCTCCTTGTGTATCAAATGTGAAAACTGGAATTTAACTTTATCCTTTAGTTGTGCCTGCAGTGGGAGGTTTCTGATTATTCCTGTTTATAAATCTCTTCTAATTAAATATACACTGAATTAGTTTTAGCATGCTGTATTAGACTGAGAGTGCTGGAACGGACCAGTGAAGCAACCACGGTCATATTATCTAATATATATATATATAGATAGATAGATAGAGATATATATATAGATGCTCTTAAGAGCAGTAATCATACAGGTCTACTGTTTTGTATTGATCAGATCAGGACACGGAGCTGCTGTTGCATCCAATGTGTCAACATTTGTCTTGATACGCCATCTAGTGTTGTGTTAATGTATTACAAATCCATATACAAACACTTTTAATGCAGAGCCAAACTGATTTGCTAAATTTTTCATTTTAAACATAGAATACTGTTTTACATAAAGACTGCAAAACACTAAATCATATGCTCAGTCCTTAGAATACAACTCAAACTCAGATTGCTTATTTTTAAGGAAATGACCACTGCAGACTGTTTTGATAAGAGTTAGTGACTGTTTGGCAGCATAATTGACATAATTATGGCCATTTAATTCTAAAATGCAACAAACGAGGAAAACGCATTCAGTGATGAAACTATATACAGTGGGGCAAATACAGTGCCTTGCGAAAGTATTCGGCCCCCTTGAACTTTGCGACCTTTTGCCACATTTCAGGCTTCAAACATAAAGATATAAAACTGTAATTTTTTGTGAAGAATCAACAACAAGTGGGACACAATCATGAAGTGGAACGAAATTTATTGGATATTTCAAACTTTTTTAACAAATAAAAAACTGAAAAATTGGGCGTGCAAAATTATTCAACCCCCTTAAGTTAATACGTTGTAGCGCCACCTTTTGCTGCGATTACAGCTGTAAATCGCTTGGGGTATGTCTCTATCAGTTTTGCACATCGAGAGACTGAAATTTTTGCCCATGCCTCCTTGCAAAACAGCTCGAGCTCAGTGAGGTTGGATGGAGAGCATTTGTGAACAGCAGTTTTCAGTTCTTTCCACAGATTCTCTCTGCAAAAGACCTGATACTGGGACGGAGATTTGTCTTCCAACAAGACAATGATCCAAAACATAAAGCAAAATCTACAATGGAATGGTTCAAAACTAAACATATCCAGGTGTTAGAATGGCCAAGTCAAAGTCCAGACCTGAATCCACTCGAGAATCTGTGGAAAGAACTGAAAACTGCTGTTCACAAACGCTCTCTATCCAACCTCACTGAGCTCGAGCTGTTTTGCAAGGAGGAATGGGCAAAATTTAAGTCTCTTGATGTGCAAAACTGATAGAGACATACCCCAAGTGACTTACAGCTGTAATCGCAGCAAAAGGTGGCGCTACAAAGTATTAACTTAAGGGGGCTGAATAATTTTGCACGCCCAATTTTTCAGTTTTTTATTTGTTAAAAAAGTTTGAAATATCCAATAAATTTCGTTCCACTTCATGATTGTGTCCCACTTGTTGTTGATTCTTCACAAAAAAATACAGTTTTATATCTTTATGTTTGAAGCCTGAAATGTGGCAAAAGGTCGCAAAGTTCAAGGGGGCCGAATACTTTCGCAAGGCACTGTATGTATTTGGTACACCACCGATTTTCAAAGTATTCTCACTTACAAAGAATGGACAGCTCTGTAATTTTCATCGTAGGTACACCTCAACTGTGAGAGACAGAATCTACAAAACAATTCCAGAAAATCCCATTGTTAGATTTTTAAATGATTTATCTCAATTTTATTACATGAAATAAGTATTTGATACAATAGAAAAATAGAACTTAACATTTGGTACCGAAACCTTTGTTTACAGAGGTCAGATGTTTCCTGTAGTTCTTGACCAGGTTTGCACACACTGCAGCAGGGATTTTGGCCCACTCCTCCATACAGGTCTTCTCCAGACCTTTCAGGTTTTGGGGCTGTCGCTGGACAACACAGAGTTTCAGCTCCCTCCATAGATTTTCTATTGGGTTCAGGTCTGGAGACTGGCTAGGCCACTCCAGGACCTTGAAATGCTTCTTACAGAGCCACTCCTTAGTTGCCCTGGCTGTGTGTTTGGGGTCATTGTCATGCTGGAAGACCCAGCCAGGACCCATCTTCAATGCTCTGACTGAGGGAAGGAGGTTGTTGCATCTCACAATACATGGCCCCATCCATCCTCTCCTCAATACGGTGCAGTCGTCCTGTCCCATTTGCAGAAAAGCACCCCCAAAGCATGATGTTTCCACCCCCATGCTTCAC